ATTTTCTTAGAAGGTTTCAAGATGTAAGTGGGGATCATATATATAAGTCACTTGTACTGGTAGAGACTATATCTAGTTAAGTTCATGCCACTTTTAATTCTCATCGAGATTTTTTTATATGCATGCCTTCCTTGAGATTTTAAGTGGAGACCTTATGGGATATATTTGGCCAGACTTTACCTGGCTATGGGATCTTTTATATGAAAAGATAAAATGTAATGTTATTTATAAAGGGAGTACTCATTCATAAATGGTGGATCTTTGGTTACCTCTAAGGGATAGAGACTATATCTCTTTAAGACACGGAGCAATAAGATGAGGAGCTCAATTTTCTTAGGTTGCTTCAGCCTTCAATAATGGAGTATTCTTATAAGATCTATTGGATATGCATTTTAGTATCAATTGAAGTATTGGAAGAATTGCATCAATCAAGACAAAGACTCGTGAAAAGTATGATGATAAATAAGCAGATTCAATTCCCTTAATGAATTCCGCTTGAATAAGATCAAAGTTTATCTATTATGAAATTATAAGGGGCATAATAAGGTGAGTTTATGCTAAGTCTATCAAGCTTTGTCGGAAGAGTATCAGATGATCAAACAACACGTGAAGGATGGATTGAACAAATAGTATTCAGAAGTTCATGGTGAGGCTGTTTTGGTAGTTTTTTGAGATTTTGCTTGGTTTTGTAAGTATTATGTTGACTTTATTGATTTCGGGTCAAGAAAGAGATCAACATCATTCAGAGTGAGGCTGATTAGAATTCTCCGGTGATTGTGTTTGTGTGTGTGTGTGTTTTTTTTTTTTTAATTCTTTTGTAGTGAGGAGCTTAGTGAGTAGATTGATGTTGTAAGTGATCTCTCCTAGCTATTACAAATCAGATTTTGGTGAATGAAACAGTGAAAGATTTTGATATATATAAATTATTTATGGTGATTTTTCTTTTATTTTGAATGGAAATTAAAAGCATTGGTAGGTTAACTAAGAGATAAAATATGTAATTCTTCTAATTTAAGTCTTGTAGTGTTACAAGAGGCATCACAAAACTAAAGATAAGCACGAAATCTCACAGGAGAGGCAACCATGCATGAGGCCACTTAGGGGAAAGGAATTTGCACAATAGAACTTGTTGGTGAAGGCACCGCGAGACCAACGACATGTTGTGGTGGTCTCGTGGTGGAGCTTGCTAGAGAAGGCAACTACAGGACCAGTTGCATGTAAAGAGAAGAGGAGTTCGCATGATGGAGCTCATTGGATAAGGCCTCATAGGATCGATGGTATACGACAAAGCTCACTGAGAAAGATATCATTGGATCCATAGAGGATTGAACAAATGAGTTCAATCAAAGTTCAAACTAGAATCACTTAGATTATTTTCTATTGTGATGCACTTTAATAAGCCTTCTATGTATACAAGAAGAATAATTTAATACGAAATAAACTTTTAAACACATTTTTCTTAAAAAATAAACATAAGAATATTTTTTTCTATCATATGTAATATGAAATATATAAAGCCGAATTTTCCTAATTTAACTTTTGATTGAAACCTAATTTAATATTTGATATGTCATCAAAAATTATCTTGATCGGACACGAATCTCGAGGCAAAAATCAAGCCGAAAACTTAAAAAAAATTAAATATAGGATTACATGAACTCCGATTTCAGTAAATTTATAGTTAAACTGAGCTTCTCGGAAATACAAACCCAACGACACCAAATTCGATTAAATCTGAGTCCAAATGAGTCCAAATCAAGGACCCGAAGCGCTGTTGGAAAGTTTGTACCACAATTTGAGTTACCAAACGATTTCCAAATTTGACAAACTTATAGTCAAATCGAGCGGCTCGACGAGACGAATCCAACGAGCCTAAGATCTCCAAATTCTGAAGTCATTAAGACCTTCAAATGTCTGATAAACGGTTCATCATCGAAGGATTCAATATCGGCCGTTCACCCGAACCACTCCATATTTGCCCCTAATCAACTACAATACTACTGGATTCATTCAAACTGGGCTAGGCCCCGTAGTTTTTTCCCTTTTTCAGGGATTTTTCACGTAAAAATCTTGGTGTCTCTAATAAATGACATACCCTCTCTTATCTGATTGAGTGTTGGATTTTCGTATAAAGTTATGACTGTTAAATTTTGTATATTTCTCTACTGCCGCGAATATTGGAATTTTTTTTTATTTTTTTTTTTTTAGCAATTCCTATGAAGAGATGTGTACGAAAAGGCTATACGCCTATACCGCTATATGTCTGACGTTTTTTTTTTTCATTTTGTTTTCCAAGTAAAAAAATGGGATAATATGACACACACATGGCACTTATAATTAAAAATTATAAACTAATATTATTAAATAACTTTAAATAAATATTTATATGATTATATAATATTAAGCATATATGACGTTTCAACATAACTTGAAATTGACTTGACGTAAAAATATTCAACCCGAATTGAACTCATTTTATAAACAGTTCAAAAAGGTTGACCCAAATCTGACTCATGAACAACATAAATGACCCAAGCACCATAATACCCCGTTTTGATTTTTTAAAACAAAAATTATAACTTATAAAGTTTAGAGTTTGGACTAAATCATCAAAAATAAGTACAACATGCTAATAAATAAAGGAATTTAAGAAAAACATAATTAAGGCCTCATTTGATTAGGCTTATTTTCATGCTTCTCTATCTGAATATGCTGAAATCAGCTATGTCTACCTGTTTGGAATCAAAACTTAGGCTTCATTTGATTGCGCGTAATTATGCCTTTTCAGGTTAGAATCGGGAAAAAAAAAACGGTTGTTGTTTTATATTTGTTTAGACAACTTTTGTAAAAATCATTTTCCTAAAACTCCGTATATCTGCGCGCCGATCTGAGAAGGAAAAAGTTTCTGCTTACCAGTTCTTAGAACCTCCATTTAAGAAGGAAAAAAAGGCGTCGGGAAACGATGCCTTAAGTGTAATTCCTTTTCGCTAAACTTGATTTTTTTCGTTGGTTACAAAATTCTTTACATATATGCTTATCCCGTCACAAATCAAAGTTTCGACATCAAAAACGTGTTATTATTAGATCAAAATTGAGTTTATGGGACAAACTAAATCCAACCGGCTAATCGAACGGGTCAGAATATTGGAGCACAATCTAACACACTTATTAATCATATCAACTCGAATTTAAATACTGTATTGGATGATCGGATCGGACCATTTATTGACCCCCTAAACTTCTAAGTCATAATCTATAATTTTATTACTGAATTAGAATTCTATTTATTACTTAACAGAGTAATTTGGCTTACGTAAGAAACAAAGTCTCCGCAACGTCAGTGAGTTCGTCATGTGATGCTTCTTCTTT